AAGATTTTCTGTCACTGTATGCAAATCCTGAGATTTTTATTTGCCATTTCACTACAGAAAAATCTGGGGATTTACATTGTTCTTTCTCTAGTTCCTTCAAACCCAGAACATTATTTTATTTTTTTGCATTAATTTTTTATTACAAAATAATATTGATATCCCATGTAGCTATAACTTGCATTTACTGATAAGAATCAACATTGTTAAGACACTTGTTTTTTGAATTTTAAATGCATTTAGGTTATAAAATTGACAAGTCAAAATAACAATTTGCCTTAGGAATCTCCTGGAACAACAACAACAACAAAAAACAAATAAAAAATACTATTTTCTCTACAAGACTTTCTCTCAAAATCCACCTTTAAAAAGGTAACAGAGGACTTTTTACTTTCATCCTATTCATTGATGGTGCTAATTCCTGTTAATGATAATATAATCTAAGTGAATTTTTACCTTTATGGCATTATTAATATCCTGAATTGCAGCAAAATTGTCACCCATCTGAAGACAGACCATAGCTCTTCCTTCATAGGCTAGGTAGCTCTTTGGATCAACATCTATGGCAATGGTAAAGTGGTTCCAAGCTTTCTGGAATTTTCCTTGGGTCTAAAAGAATTTTCCATTTACACGAAGTAGGAAATTATCCATAACATGACCAATGTTTATGATTCTAACTTAATCAAATAAAACCTTTAGTAAGGGTATATTTATATTATGCTAAATCTAAGATATTTTAAACAAGGGAGTAGGCTGTACTGTGAGTGCATTCAATTGACTAATTACCTCTGAGTATTTGTGCTGAAATTTAAATGAAAATAAATCTAATTGTCAGGGTCATCTTTTAGACCAATCTTGGATAACATGTAATCACGGCCACCGTGTGCAACACCAATGCTTTGGACAATCACCACAAAATTTACATTGAGCTCTGCACACACAGGCAGGGAACTGCATATATTTGCTTGGCATTGAATCTCCAGTTATGCATAATATACATAATAAAATAAATATGTTTCGAATAAATAAATATAAGCTACTGGTGTGAAACCTACTTTGATACCAACCTCTGGAATTTTCGGATCACTATACATGTTCCATGGAAATTGCATGCAAATCTACCAAACATCTAT